TAAAGAAGAAATTTGGGTTGGAGAATTGACCGAATTAAATAACTGCGTTCTTCTTTTCTTAAAGTACACTGGAAAAACTTTCTTTAATGTGAATATTCTACTTCATTTCGATACCATATACTACCAATAATTAATGTTTGTATAACAATTTTAATGAAATTGATTAAATATTTGACCTTATTTATCAACAAAAATGTTTTCTATACTCTGTTTCTTAATGCGAGAGAGTTACAACTCATTACTGAACTGTAGACTTTGGGGTCTTAGCCGTATTCCATGGGCGTAGTATTGTAGTAAAGTCCAGGGTACAATTATAATTACATTTCAGCAGTTTTGGTTGGTTGTTTCTGAAACTGTTGCTGACAAATGGATAAGGAAAACTGCGCTGTATAATAATAAAAAAAAATCTTGTTGTCACCACCTTCAAAGCTTATAGACACCAAACCACAATATTTGCAGTTGCAAAATTAGTTCAAATAATTTCTAATATTATCGGTTTATGAGTTCATCTATTTTCATCTTGTTCTTAGTTCTATATAATCATTTATTTACTTGATCTTAGATAAATTTATATCTCAACTATCTTGATAATTATAATCACGTACAATTATTATTGTAAAAGACTAGCTGTATTTACCCCCCTGTCAAATTCCTAGTGTGACCTCAACGATTCGAGGTGTGTCTTGAACATAGGATTTACCGGAAACTATCATTGCAACTTTTCTAAACCTGTTTAATGGCCCCTGTCATTACTAATTTACATTTTGTAGAAAAAACGGTATAAAGTTCTGGTGCACATATATTGCCATGCTGAATAAACCAGAATAATTTATTGGGCGCTTAGTCGCCGCTAGAAAAACATTTCAGGAATCACTTTTGGGGTGTTATTTGTTTCTTCCAGAATTAATTCTTATATGCCCAGTTTGCAAATCCGATTTAATTAAACACAGCCGTCTACACAATATAACATTTTAATGGACAAAATTGCATACAGCATAAAGCGCTACGTCATTTGTCATAAAGATTGTTAAAGAGTACGGCAACGTTCGCAAGCGCGGACTGAGAGTAACTCTTCTACCTTGTCAATGTCAACTGCAATAGAATCAAATTGCTGCCAACGTGGTTGGAATGTGAACTAAATTTTAGCGCAAATATCTGAGTTTGCGGAAAATCTCATAGAACAACACAACCCTTATGAAAATGCTTTTTGTTAATAACTTTTTCATAATATACCTAATCAAATAAATTAAATAATATGATAATAATATAAATGAAAAAATACCTATCTACCTACTTCTAAAGCATTTAATAAAGATATTGAACTAGTCAATACGCAATTTTTTTTTGTTATAAAGCAGCGTCTTGAAGAAAAATTATATACTTAGGTAAATTAATTGTTGCCAAACTCCTCTCAATTAGTGGGTTTTTACTTTTTACAAGTTTGTACAACATGCTTTTTCGAATTTAATTTCAATGTTAAATACCTGCAAATCTTCATTATTTTCAGGAAATGACATATGTTTTATACCTGCTTTTTTTCATTTATTTTTTAACTTTTGCTACTAACTCGTATATTTTGATAGACACCATTTCGTAAAAATAATGATAAAATGTTCAAAACAAATATCTAATATTAGCGCTCATCGATTTAACTATGGCTCTCTATATTTAAAAAAAAACGAGTAGTGCACAAAACAATTCTATCTGTGTAATAAAATAGTGTGTTATGCCTTTTCTAAATCAACATTAATTCAAAGATCCTTCTTGTAAGAAAAATATTTCGAACACATACATGAATTGCATCTTAAATTTAACACCGTAGAATATATATCTACAGCCTTATCCAAATAAAGGAATCTATATACCTTTTTCTACTCCCTCCTATAAAATTCCCGGATCTCGCGCACTTAACGTGTCAATTTCATTTGTCACGGATTGGAGCTACTTCGAACATTTCCCGGATATTAACGCGAGGGTTTGCTATCAATAGGATGTTTTCGGAAATATTAATTACCGCACAGCTCGAATTTTGACTTTTGTCAATTCTGGCTGTCATGTCAGTGAATGTATTCATGTTATTTTTAAAAAATTTACCCAGAAACTAACGGTCGTAGAAAAAGTGTAGTATGCAACGGGTCTGGTAAACTTTCTAAGTCATTCATTTATTAAACCCTTCGCTGCGCTGGGCTGCTCTCCATTTATGTCAAATAAACTTGTCACTCCAATGCCATTCACCAGACTTGTTGCATAGTATGCTATAATAAGCATATTTTAATTTTTACAACCTTGAACTCAACAACTTGAAAAAATATTTCGGGATATCATCCGTTCGCTTTTTGAACTCCGACTGGAATCATGCAGACGTTTCGCCAAGATCTTGGCATCTTCAATGCTCGCTCCGAAAATACTTCTATTCTCAATTAATCACAACCGTTTTAGACCATTGTTAAGAAGTCGTATTAAAACAGTATATTAAGCTTTGCACAATCTTGTCAAATTTCGCAAATTACTTATTTCTGCGTTGTAATGTCTACTTGAAATGATTACAAAACACTTAACACCAACTATTAATGCATATTACCTACAAATAAAACTAATTAAATTAGTTTTTCAATATGTTCGCCGTTTTGAAAAATAGAAGTAGTATGTGCTATTTCTAAATGGTATATGGCATGAAGTGTGGTTCGTCTTACGTATACATCTGAAGTGGCAGGTATGGAGTATTTTCAAATTACAGAAGCATATTTTCATCCAAAACCGTTCGGCTCCTACTTTTTCATAAAAACACCGCCATTTGTTCGAAACTGCTGGTACATTTTGGCAAATATTTTTTTCCTGGCAATCGTCAGTCAACTTTTTCCGCCTTCGTATACATTATACACAATAGACTCAACGAAAATGTAACTTAATAAAATAAATAGAAAAGAGTGGAAGTGCGAAAAAATACGCGTAAAATATTATAATACACTGATATATACTGGACTTTTCTATCTCGATGGCCTCTCGTATAATCCTGGTCCTAAAATCAGGAATATTAGCTATTTGTTTGCAAGTGCCGAAATCAATTTTATGGCCTGTCTGATGTTGGTCATGAAACAAAGTAGATGTTGTTTGTTTCTTCCGGCTAAACGATGTTCCTCGAGCCTGGCTGAAATTCTTCTATTGGTCTGTCCCACGCACGTTAGGCTGCACGATCCGCATGCATGTATGCATGTATACTCCTGGGTTTCCAAAGTAATTTTTTGTTTTGGGTTTCTTAGTATTGCTCCGATGGTATGATCAGGTTTGTATGCCGTTGATATGTCATGTTCCGTAATATTCAGCCGATTTTGTCAGTAACCCCCTTGATGTATGGCAGGACAGCGATCCTTGTGGTCGTGCGATCGTCGTGATCGTAACTTAATTATATACAGGGTAGTATAACAAAGTTACATTTTTTAATAGAGCACCCTACATTTTATTGCATAATTAATAATCCTTTCAAAGACAAATTCAACGATATATATGAGTATTATCTTATCGATCAGCTTCAGAATTTTCTCAATTTTCTTAAATGAGACACCCTGTATACAATTGGATTCTCGAATAACCACTTTAATAGCATTTTCAATTTTATAACATAATACGGGTCTCTGACTTAACATTTTGGCTTAATTGGCTTATTTTCCAATAACACATAAATCCTTTTACATTCATAATTTAAGAATCTTGTAAATAAGGTATTTAAACTGAAAAAGCTTTTGAAAAATATTCATATCGCTAATAATATAGACCACAGGTCTTTAAAAAATATATACAACCCTGCCTGTTGAAAGACACAAACACAAAATTGGTGATTATTAATTTTGACTTTTTGATATAATCATCGCAGTAGCTTTGAAAACAATAGTATTTCTCTGTTGTGGTAATATTACTGATTTTTTGACTTTCACTATTTTCTATTTATTTAAATAAGTTACATTTTTGTTGAGTCTATTGCGTATAATGTATACAAAGGCGAAAAAAGTTGACCTCTTAAATCGCCAGTCACAAAAGTCGGGCTCTTCTTCTCATTGCTCTATAGAGCCAAATTTTTCCATAGGCGATTGTCAGGGAAAAAAAATTGCCAAAATGTAGCAGCAGTTTTGAACAAATGGCGGTGTTTTTGTGAAAAAGTAGGAGCCTAACGGTTTTGGATGAAAATATGCTTCTGTAATTTGAAAATACTCCATAGACCCCCCCCGCCTTGTCGCTTCCGATGTACATGTAAGACGAACCACATGTAAGTTTAAAAATTCAGCCACTACAAAAACTACAAGAAGACGATTTTAACTTAGTGTTTACAATGTCTGAGGTATAGTTTAATAGAAAAAATACATATTATTGAAGTTCAGAAAATAAAAAATGTATTTTTGAAGTAAACAAGGGGTGGTAAAGATCCGAGCGCAATCTGGAGATCTAGAATTTTAGGAACCACATTTTACCAAATGAAACGAATTACTTCTCAGATGCCATATACATTTTGAAACATATTGAAAATCTAATTTAATTAGTTTTATTTGTAGGTAATATTAATAGTTAGTGCTAATTTTTTGTAAGTAATTTGCGAAATTTGCCAAGATTGTGCAAAGCTTAATATTCTGTTTTTAATACGACTTCTTAACAATGCTCTAAAACGGTCGTGAACAAGTTGATATAGGGCTATTTCCCAGTTTCAAACCTTAATAGTTTAAAATCTTTGACCCAGTTTTTAAGTTAATAAGGAAAATGTTGATGAAAATTTGATCATTGCCTAAAGAAATGCATTATTTTCGTAAAAATAATAGAGGCAAAAATAGTTTCAAAAGTTAATAAGCAATCCAACGATAATGGTTTAAACATAACCCGAATTCTGAAGATGATCCCTAATAAGTTAGAAACGGTGATTCACAGACCCATACTTATATATATCGTTGAATTTCTCTTTCCAAAATGCAATAAAATATAGGGTGCACTATTTAAAAAAATGCAACTTTGGTTTGTAAAAAAGTGACAATTAGGAAAATAAAAAAAAAGTTTATTTTAATAGAAACAACTTTTGTATTTATTTTTTTTTTATAACCCTCGTAGGTTTTGAGATAAGGTATAGGCCCCTGTTAAATGGGCCACCATGTACAATCTGTAACATTTTACTATATTTGATTCTATAAACACAAACAAGGATGTGATATATACAATTTATAAAGCTGAATTCAATTTTGAAATGCTTATCTAAATCTTACCATTGTCTATCGAGTTTCCTCACTATAAACAGGTGTAAACGTATAATAATATTGTTCAAACTAATTAAACAAAAATTATTTCTACGCTGTCGTAATTACATTGTTCGTTTGAAGTCGTAACATCACCTACATTGTAAAAATTAAATTACATTGATGAATTTTGCATTAATTTCTTTTAAAAATGAAGTTATGATGGACTGGATAGTAGATAATTGAAATAATGTAGTCACTTGTGAGTTTCATTCGAGAATAGCACTTAATAACAGAAAACAGTTAAATATTCTAGTATCAACAAATTTGTGGATGCGCAGGATGATCTAAATATACCGAAATATTCGCCTAGTGTGCTTTTTGTTCTAAATCGAAATGATAATGGCCTTAAATCAAATGAATTTAAAACGTCATGAATAAAGTGTCACAAAAATATTTGCCAAATAACAACCATAATTAGCCACAAAGATGCCGCGAAAAAATATTGCTACTTACTAAAATTATGTTGAAGTATTATTTATTTTATATTATTTTGTTTGCCCATAAAATTTAATTACCTAGTACATAATTGGGAAGTAGTATTAGTTGATAATTATCTAGTCTGTGAAAAAACAGTTGATTTTTGTAGCTTTTAACCTGTGGTGATTAGGCAAAAATCGCAGTTGGGTTAGTTTTCAAAAAGAAAAGTGGAGGAAATGGAAAATTTTCGTTACGGATTGATGTTTTCAGTAAATTTGGATCGACATCGCCGTCATAGCTATAAAATAGTGTTTTAAGAACATGAATGCCAGCAAATTTTTTGATCTTGTGGAAAACAAATCCCATTGTTTCAAACAAACAAAATGCCAAAAGGAGTCCCGTCCGCACCATAGCTGAAAAGTGTGGAATGGGTTTTGTTCAACAAAAAAAAAACACAAGTTGGGCAGGCAATTTAGCGTTGAAAGATAAAATTAGAAATTGGGAATAGTTTGTTTTGCTTTGAACTATGTTTAAACAAGTTTAAAAGATTTGAAAACAATTAAGTAAATCGTAACTTCGTATTACAACTGTTATAACTCGTGCATTGATGAAAAAAAGAATTTTCGGAGAGTAAATTTCAAATAGCTCATTAATAAGTATCTAATGTTTTATAGTGGACTGGGAAACGCAGATAATAAGAAAAATTTCTCAGAATTTTCTGAATACTAAAAACACAAAGGCACTAAAATACAAGCAAAAGAATAAATTCATTCGGTTTGTGTTTTGAAAATGAATAAGATGGAAAAATAAAAACTGATAAAACAATATTTAAAATTAGTTCTTATTCACATAAGACAATGTTATATTTAGAAATAGTTCTTATTTACACCATTGTAGATTCCTGTTATATTGGTTGCAGCAATGTAGGTGTTGCAAAGCTTAGAATGCTGAAGACATTTCTATTGTTTAGTTTCCATAAACTTGTGCTTTTTCCAATTGCGGTTCCTTGTGAACAACCAGACCTTCCGGCCAATTATTGTCATATTTTTCCCCATACATATTCCTAATATTTGGATTTCACCCCTCAGTGTGTACGTCCTATGTTCTTCAATTTTAACTTTTCAAGGTATTTGTGTTTCTCCGATATATGACCCTCCACATTCACAGGGTACTTGGTAGATACACTTTTTCTCTATGAAGAGCCAAATCCTGTTTAATTCTTATTAATTCTACACCGAGTGAGGCTTCGTCATTGAATATTGTGATTCAGAATAAATAGATTGAAAATTTAAATACTCTTCGCTGTGTGTAGGTTGGTTTTCTATATACAGAGATGCCGATAGAGCCATTATTTTTACTTACTAGGACATCTATAATCAATAGATAGCCGTTCTTCTCTTTCTCAGCAGTAAATTTATTGGACGGTCGCAAACAGTTAATATGATTGACAGCTAGCTGTCTATTGGTTCCACTCCAGATGACGAAAGTATCATCAACATAACGAAACCAGAAGAATTTCCATATTTGTAGTGTGAGTTTCAACCCATGTACAATGTTGGCGTCCAAGCGGAGCAACCTATCGCTTGCACCGGACTCCGTCGCGGTGAACAGTGTAGTCTACTATATAATCCTGGTAACCTTAGAATTAAAATTATTGTGCACATATAAAGTGGTAAATAACAGCAATAGGGACATTAATCGCAGAACAAATAATAGGCAAGAGCTTATATTAAGATATAATATATTAAACTACAAATTTTATACACCACACCATTCATACAAATATCCAAGAATTGCAGCATTTAATCTCCATGAAATAGTCAATATTAAAACTTATATAAAACTACCTTATCACTAGTATCACAGGCTGAAAATATCGGGATTTTTTTCTACAAAAAAAAGGAACGTTCCCTATTTCCATTAGAACGATCCAGGATCTAAGTCTTTGCTCATAATAATCAAATCCACGCGACCGGCAAAATAACTCGGCGCACTACGTCATAGGAATACCATTTTCCGCCTGCTCACTTTTCGGCGTTACTTTCAGTCCCTTCAGCTTCAGTTGAATTTCATCTAATGTTTTGCCTTTCGTTTCCGGTATGAATAGCGCCGTGAAGAAGGCCATCGACAAGCAACAAACGGTGAATATGTAGAACGGTACGTGGATCCCAAATTTGTTAAATAAAACCGAATAAATTTGAATCGACACCACCGCCATTAGCACGTAGACTGCGTCTGCTATTGTCATCCCTATGGCTTTGATCGTGGTCGGAAATATTTCCGCTGTTATGACGATCGGGACCAATCCCAGTCCAGACTTGAACGTGAGGGCGTACGTCATGCAACATGCTGCAGGAATCCAGCTGACGTATAAGACGTCGTAACCGGCATTCTTGAGGTGGAAAAATGCAGTCATAATTCCGAGCGTAATGCCGGTCAGGACGCTGGAAAGAATCAATAGCACCTTCCTTCCGAGTTTATCTATCAAACAGGACGACGTGCTGGCACCAATCAGCATTATACCGGCGAAAATAACGGCCGCAACTCTGGGTTCGATATAAACGGATCCGGCTTCGGCCAGGATTATGTGCAGGTTCATAACCATGACGCTGATACCAGCAAAATGCTGTATTCCGTTCAAAATTGTCATGATAATGATCGCTTTTCGATTGCTCGGTATGAGAACGAGGTCCTTCGGTCTTCCCTTTTCCGTCTTCTGCCTTTCAACCGCTTTCTGGATGTCTTCCATCTCCTTAGTTGTATTGGAATCGCCTCGCAGCCTCTTCAACGCCTTTTCAGCTTTTTCTATTTGATTCGTGCACACCAGATAGTACGGTGACTCTGGCATAAACGGAAAACACACGCATTGAATTGAAGTCAGCACGATTCCGATAATGGGTGGGACGTAATAGGCGGTAAACGCGCCAGTAACGTACACCAACAGAATCCCCACCAACATCATCAGGTAGATGAGGGATGACAGGAAACCTCGTATTCTGTGGTCGGCTATTTCCGCTATGTACATCGGAGCTGCGACGAAACACATGTCACCCGCCATGCCCGATATAAATCTGGCTACGTAGAGAATTTCCTTGTTGGGAGCAAAAATGATCGCTATCCAGCAAAGGCAACCGGCGAACGACGCGACCAGCATCGATTTCTTGCGTCCAATTTTGTCCACGGCTAATATCGTGGTCGGTAATCCGGCAAATGCCCCCAACAGATTAACCGTTTCCATCATTTCCGCTTCGTGCATCGTCATTTTAATGTGCGTGTCGTTTCCCGTGAAGTATGGGATCATCGGCGAGGTCCATCCGTACGTCATCCCGTCAGATATTGCCATCAACGTCCCTGGAAACAAAGGAAATTGTTGCTAGGGTGTAATTAATGCAATAAAATGTTGGATCCGCGAAATGGGCGTGGAATGATGTCTGGGGGGTCATTTCATGCACCTTGGCCGTGTATTTGGAGGTTTCAGATTGCTTAACTTTTATTGTTCAAAGTGTTAAACCAAACTCTGCGTTTTTCTTTAACTTGAACAAGGCAGGCCTGGTTTCATATAAAAAACTGATACGACTCTCGAGGTACTTTTTTCAGAGTTCGGAGCAGTGTCAATAAAAAAAAATGTTAGCGTTGTCACAAATAAGTTAGAAAATAAAAGGTTAGGTTTCTTTGACTCCGCAGACGAGCAGAGAGTTAAAAGCAATAATTGTGACCAAGTTAGAGGGTTACCACATTTCAGCGGTAACTCATCATTTTAATGTAAAATTCTTGCATGTAATCAATTCTTCTACCAACTGAAAATCCGAGAGCCTATAGAAATCTATAAACAATCTAACAATCTTAATCGCGACTCAGGTCTTTATCTGTCACCAATATGGGAATCAGTCATCCGAGACGGTGTTTATGCCCCTCATTTAGTTCCGTTTTGTTTTGTTTTGTTTTGTAAAAAGTATTACAGTAGCCTGTGGAAGTTTCTTTGAAGAAGTGGAATAGTTATTACGAATAACATTAATTATTATATTTCAACTACCAATGACCTTAATCATCCTTTTTGCTATAAACCAAAAAATTATTATTCGTGTAATTGTATCCCAAATTATTTATACAGAACCTTTCACTAAACTGTGCCTAAGTTGTGCCTCTTATTATAAAAAATGATGTATATTGCTATGAAATTCAGAAAAAAAAATATTTTTTCAGTAATTGTATCTCAAATTATGATTCGGAAAATTACTAACGTTCCGCTTAGTTGTGCTCTTATTAAAAGAAGTCCTGCTAATTATTCAAATGCATTTTTAAATTTTAAAATCCGTTACACTAAAAATGATGTAAATTGCAACTTTATGATAAACGAAAAAATGCAGGTTTTCAATAATTGAATATTATATAAAAATGCCACCACATACTTGAAGAAACAATTTCATAAAAGACTCACACACTGTCATGAACGGTTTTTCTTATACTAAAGATTTTTAAGTACTCTTAGATACATACATGGATGATTCCGTTTTAAATATTACATTTTAACTTAAACCTTCTAATAATTTAAAACTTGACTTTTTTTAACTAGTATATTGTATTGTATTGTATTTTAATCACAAATCATATTGTATAAAAATATGAAGAAATATGTTTATGGTCTTAATCATTAGTACAAAAATTTCATTGTTAGATTATTAATTAATCACCAGTAAGAACAAGCAATGCATAAAATCACAACTAAAATAGAATCACCCATATGTAGCTTATAAATACTTCCTCTTGTAAAAAGATGTAGGAATATTTTTAGCGAATAAAAACTGTTGTCATTAGCAGCGTAACCTTCTCACCAATTTTTCGTTAGTGGGTAATACACACCATAAGAGTCATAGGAGGCAATTTATTTTTTATTCAAAGCAAATAGATGAATCGATAGATTTATCACTTTTAAGAAGAAAACAATTGTGTCAAATCATTTTCCACAGGTAAATATATAAAATGTAAAATGTAAAAGAGTAACAACACAAAATTAAAAAAGATAACCAAACATGAGTCTATTGCACATTAAGAGATAATTACATATAAAATACCACAATTTAAGTTAAAAAAATACATACAACTAGTTAGCATCTTCTGTCAGGAAGGAATTTTTTTACATATCTTTTAAATTTTTTATTGCTAAGTGCCTTCACTTTTGATGGTAGTTTGTCATACAAACACAGATTTAAATATTTTTTTGGCATTTAGTACATTTAAATCTTTTGTTGCGAAAGAAGTTATTTTTTGCGGTACGATAATATGATAAAAAGAGTTCAGCCTAAATGCGTCTTTGCTTCTAAGTACTTCCAGCATTTGATAATAGATGTACAGACTTGGAGGTGACATAATTTTTAATCTTTTACAATGCTCTAAATACTAACTACCTTCTTTTGATGTTTGAAAGCCCGACCAGCGCCTAGGAAGGTTATCCCATCAAGAAAGAGAGAATTTTTATATATACATATATATATATATATATATATATATATATATATATATATATATATATATATATATATATATATATATATATATATATATATATATATATATATATATATATATATATATATATATATATATATATATATATATATATATATATATATATATATATATATATATATATATATATATATATATATATATATATATATATATATATATATATATATATATATATATATATATATATATATATATATATATATATATATATATATATATATATATATATATATATATATATATATATATATATATATATATATATATATATATATATATATATATATATATATATATATATATATATATATATATATATATATATATATATATATATATACGTACGCCACCATTCTCAGTTCCTACATTTCATTATTATAGACCACACATCTCCTAGATAACAGATATGACTTAATAAGATCCAGTGGAAGTGCTCGCACCAAATATTTATTCAATTTGTCAGCAGCAAGTGGCGAGAAAAGCAGTCGAAGGCTTTGCCAAGGCTGATGGTGCAAAAATTTTTAAAAATAGTTTAAAGTCTAAAATGCTTTGTAAAATGAAATAACCATAAATAATAAATACATAAAGACGTAGTATTGTTTTTTTAGCAATCAAATCAAATATCTTGTAATAAGTTATTATAATTTTCAAATTTATTTTTTTTTTTAATCTAAATAACTTACCCAATATTGTAGCCACGATTTGCGGTAGCAGATGCCCGAATTCAATCCCCTTGGCAAACATTGTCTTTAACTTTGTGCACCGACACCGAGTCACAAAAACAGGACCGACAGTCACAAGAAAATCTCGACGCGTTCTGAAAAATACCTGCCCGTTTCACGTCAATATATTGGCGTTAAACTAGAAATTTGCATCGATGTAAACCCAGTTTATACGGTGACTCAAGAAATATACCACCAGCAATTTTATCCTACCGTAATTACTGGAAACGTAAAATTTCTGCGTGTTGTTTACTCTCTCCGCATTAGTCGTTGCATGGCTAATGTAAAAGCTGATCATAAAAGGAAACCGATTGAATTTAAACAACCGGCTTCGTTTCTCTTGCGGGGAAAACCCTACCGTATTCCCGCAGACGCGTCTGCGGCCGTTTTTATGAGAGCGCCTGGGCTTTGGTAATTTTCAGTGGATTATGCAATGCAAATGCGGTAAGTGTGATTTATCTGAAATTTACGATCGGTGCGACGCATAAAAAGGGAAATTATAGTCAGAAGTCGCTTAAATCTTAAAACACAGAGTAAACGTTCACTTTAGTGACCAGAACTATGTTTTGCTTTAAATTTGTCTATTTTTTCTATGTTTTACTAATTAAAATTATTGAAAAATAAAATGTAAGGGGCATTTTTTTTTAAGCTACCCTATAAAATTTTTGTACGTACGACGCAATAAGCAACCACTTGTGAACCAGATGTTTTCTTAAAAATCCCATTTCTCGCCCCTCGCTCTGTCAGAATATCGATTAATAGAAGGGCGTCATTTAAAATAAACATAGTCTTGGGGTGCAGTAAGATTTTAAGAAATATATTTCCAGCGTTTCTCGGTTAACCGTGCATTCGAGTGTTGCGGGTTATTGTTTGTATTCCGTGATATTGCGAAGACGAGTACAGTAGGTGCATTTCATGATGTTTTCATTTTATTGGCCAAAATACCAAAGTACTAAAAGATCTATTTATTGATCGGTTTCATTTTTAATTCATAAAATATACCCAAGGAATTTGGTTAAAGATGTTATTGTTTATTGCACTGTCGCGCGTCTCTGCCCTTCATTGCCGATGTGGTTATTTGCGACAGGATACTTCGCGTGTCACTGCCCTTAGTATAATTAGCACTAATGATTGAAAGAGTTACTATGCGTGTCTCTGCCCTTAGTACCAATATACTGATGCATGTTCTGCCCTTCAATATATTATGACCTGCCCTTCAGTGCCGGTGTGGTTATTTGCGACAGGATACTTCGCGTGTCTCTGCCCTTAGTATCCATTGCACAATCGAAATAATCAGTACTAGTGATTGAAAGAGGTACTATACGTGTCTCTGCCCTTAGTACCAATATACTGATACGTGTTCTGCCCTTCAGTATATTATGACCTGTTGTTTATTGCACTGTCGCGTGTCTCTGCCATTCAGTGCCGGTGTGGTTATTTGCGATAGGGTACTTCGCGTGTCTCTGCGCTTAGTATCCGTTGCACGATCGGAATAACCAGCACTAGTGATTGAAATTGGTACTATGTGTGTTCTGCCCTTAAAACCAACCTAAACTCAGTTCCAGATTTTATGCAAGAGATATCTGTTATCTGTGATGTCTGGTGATATTAAGTAGTATTAATGAATCTTAATAATCTTTGGTACTCAGGATATTTTTTTTAGTTTCAAATGCGAACCGTGTCACCTCTCTGACGGACTGATCACCGTTCGTTTAGACCCAAAAAACTTAATAATTATTCATTAAAATAAATAAATATATGTATTATACATTTTCAAATTAAAATTTTATTGTTCTGGTTACCCCGTCTTACAAGAATTCCATCGAAAAAAAAAAATTATGATATATTCTCAGATCAGAGAAGGTAAATAGGATAACAAAAGCTTAACTTCAATATATATAAAATAATTACTTATTATAAACTATGCAAAATTAAATTTAACTATTTGAAATATGTATAAGTTGTTGTTGTCGTGTAAGTATAAGAGTTTATTTAACACGAGCAGAGCGCAGCCGAGCGATTTTTTAATAACCGAGTGACTTAAAAAGTTTACGAACGTGTTGCATAGTATACATTTTCTATGACTGTTGGTTTTTGGGTACATTTTCGCAAAACAATACGAATACATTCACTCACATGACTGTCAGAATTGATAAACGTCAAAATTCAAGGCGTGGGAAATATCTCCGAAAACATCCGATTGCTCCCAAACTCGTGCGGTAAAATTCCGGATATGTCCGAAGTGGCTCGGATCCGTGGGAAACGAAACTGACGCGGTGAAGTGACACTTCCCGCACGCTAGGTCGGTGTGTAATTAGACAATATACAGACGGGAGTAGAAAAAAAGTTTTATACCTAAGGAAATGAAAATACTGAATTTTGCATTCCAAATTTACTGGTAGGTTGCATCAGGGTTACTTAAACTTAATTTTGGTGCTTTTTACAAAACTTCTGGATTCCTCCTGTGTCGGTTTTTGCTTAGTCGAAATTGCTGACGTTTCGCCAATCATCCTGTTGGCTTCTTCAGAGCTTGACTGAAACTGACGACCGACGCAGGAGGAATCTAGAAGTTTTGTAAAAAGCATTACAGTAGCATGTGGAAGTTTCTTTGAAAAATTAATTTTGGTGGTTTCTTAGGTACATTCATTACTTTGAAAATTTTGAGAGTCATAAGATTATTTCGAACACTGCAGCTTTTTACATTTCTGACTGGTGATTAACGTTTGCGTAGTAAGCAGTGTCCAAAATTTATCGATAATTACATAAGAAGAATTTTGATCTACATCGATTTGCCAAGCCCTTCTTTATAAATATTTTCAACGGTTTTTATGTTTTTCAATTTTTTTATTTTTAGTTATTGAAACGCCCAGAGTATACCGAGCTTTGATTTTAACATCCACTTGAAACATTTTGTTGCTTTGTGATTTTGTATGTCAAACGAGTTTGGGGCTCTGCAACGGGCAATACAGATCACCCGGACAAACTAGTAAAGAAAAATTAAATTGTGTATACGATGCATTTACCAAGTAAAGGTGCACAAACAAGAAAAAATTATTAAATTTTTGGTCAGAATAATTATTTTAATGAAGCTTTTAAGTTTTGCATTGGTTATTACGTCGAAATTTTAATTTTCCTGTTTTGATTTTAATGTTCTAATTATAACGAGTTTTTGCCGTTTGCTATGTTTATTTTACCCCGAAAACAAAGTTGCAGTGTTTTCCAAAAATCAATTTAAAATACAGTCGAATCGAATTATATACGGTGTTTGAAGGAACTATACGAGATAAATAAATTTTTAAATTTACCAATAATTATAATAGATAGTTTTAAAAAAAACTTTCCATCATTCAAATTTTGCGGCTCCAAAGGTGAAAATGCAAGAGCGTCAAATTAGGTGCACTGGGTGGCAGGTTTTCCGTCAAAAACATAAAAAAAACCTTGGGGTTTTGTTAACCCTTATCAGAAAATATGGTATAACGCGAAACTATTGAAAATAGATATAAGCGAAAGCAAAGCACAAGTCGAGGTAGAAAAATCAATTTTACAGCTTTGTATGATGGTAAGTTTTGGATGGAGTTTACCATACAAGCTTTCACAAAAATGTTGAGAAGCAGCACTGTGCAAAATAATATTAAACTACTAAAAAATTTCAAAACCTAAAATAACATACCACTACATTTGCAAGTGCTTCCAATGAAACATTCAGTCCTCACAAAGAAGTAGTTGTAAGTTTTCTTTTTTGATACATCTTTTTACAGTCTATCAACCGAGTGCAAAGTGCAATAACAAAAATGATTTTTATTAAACTTTAAGGATTTTTAGTTACACTTTAGGACGTCAGTTTCGTTGTCCACTGTCGCAAGTTACTTTTCGGGTACTTCAGTCAAGGGTTTAGGTGCAATTCGAATGTTTTCGGTAGATTTTATCCACGGATGGTATTCTGACGATTACGTCACAAGTCAGGTGATAGAGTTTTTCTACTCCCTTGTGTAAAATACCTAAGTACACGCCGATCTAGCGTGCGGGAAGCGTCATTTTACAACGTCACGGATTTGGGAGCAATCGTATGTTTTCGGAGATATATATAAGCGTGGGAAGCATTGAATTTTGACATTTGTCAATTCTAACGGCCATGTCAGTGAATGTATTCGTGTTGTTTTGCGAAAATGTACCCAAAAACTAACGGTCGTAGAAAAAGTATGTATGCATCATGTTCCGTGAACTTTTGGACTCACGAGATTATTTAACATGAGCAGAGCGCTGCGGAGCGAGTTTTTAATAAACGAGTGCCGTTTACCGCACTTGTTGTATAATATACTATTATGAATAGATTCTTCGAATATTTCAATCTTCCACCAAAGGTTGGATCTTGTAAATACTGTATTCGTATTATTTGGCAAAAACTTATCCAAAACCTAAGAAAAAGTACGGTATGCCATAACGCTGATGAACTTCTCCAGTCACTCGTTTATTAACCTATATTATCCCAAGCATAAAAAAAATACTTTTTTGCTCTGAAATTATTTATTTTGTTGCACTTAAGAATACATTACATGTGTCAAAAAAATTAAAATAAAAACTCGAAACATACAAAAAACACTGGTGCGTAAACGAACCACTGGGAAAAAACATTAAATAATGTTTTGGGGTACATAAGATGTAACATATAATTTATATATAAATATACAAAAAAAAATCGATAGAAAACAACTAGAGGTACATTGTTTTCCAAATAGAACCTGATTTGATACAAAAAAATGCATAATATTTTATGGCGCGTGAGCGCACCACTGGTAACACACGGTTTTATTTTTGTTGATATTTTACAAAGCATGAAGTATGTAAATGCATATTACACGTATTACAAATGTAAATTGTGTTGCTGTAGCAGATTCTATTTCTCCTTCGAGCTTTATTAGCATGAACAAATATGAGGTGACCTTGATTATAATAACGCACTTCATCTATGGCAGGTGCAAGATTTCTTTGAGTAATGGTTTTCTGAGTTTTTAAAAGTCGTAAAGCAATGTAACATTTAAAATCTACCTGGGAAATCTTTTGTTCGTTGACATTTTGGACATGATCTATACTAGAAACATTACTTGCCACAGTTACAACTGAATTGTCGTGCCAACGGATAATAGAAATTTTTGATTTGGATTCGCATGCTGCAAGATAGGATCCGCGGTCTTTTTTTCCAAATGATTTACAATTTTCCATTGGATTAGTTTTTAAATGTACAAATAGTTTGAATGATGAAAAAAAATTGTCAAAAAAAATTTGGTTAGTTCATGACATGACATGACAACGTCACCGCCAAGACCAAGAT